TATGAATAATGAAGTTAATTCTGTATTATCAGGAATAAATTCAGCAGTTTCAATATGTAAAACAACTCTCTCTGCATATTGAGAGTCAGTGACTATATTGAGGGGTTCTGTGAAGTCCATCAGTACCATAAGAATGGCATACAGTTCTGCCTTTTGTACAGAGCTATATGGACTTTGCACCACTTTACTTAAGTCTCCTGATTTATATCCTGCTTTCCCTGATTTATTTGCATCAGTATAGAATGTGAGGACTCCAGAAATTGGCTTTTGTCGTACAATGTGAGGAAGGACCCATTCAGTCTTCTTTATGAATTCAATGGTTTCTCATGCCTGAAGCGTCTGCCCTGGGCAGGAAGCTCCTGGAGAACTCTCTTTGGCATACTGCAGACTTGGTCTGTAAGAGATTGCTCTAGGCTGGCACCCCAAAGCCCCTGGAGATTGCAGACCTGTAACACATGCAACCTCTCACCCCAAGCTTACTGTGGACTTAGAGCTGAAACACGGCCTCTTGCTTAATGTCTCTTGCCACCAAGGGCCTTGGAATTTTTTCTTTTAAAATTTCGATGCCCTTCTTGCAAATAGTTACCTTATTGTTTCTCCATTATTTTCTACCCACTCCATTCTTGGAAGGAGGGCAGACAAGAACTCAGATGGAAACAGGAGACAGTCTCCACTCACCCAGTGCTTCAGAAAGAACTACCAAACTAGTCTAAAAGGCTACTCCCTTGATAACAAAGGTGGCAATTCACACCTGTAGTCCCAGAATTTAGGAGGCTGAAGAAGGAAGATTGCTGCAAGTTCCTCCCTGCTACAAATCAAACAAATAGATCACAACATATTAGAAGCCTTTAAACTATAGGGCAATTTCTTGGATGCGCATAGAGGCAATTTTAAAAATAAAACCATATAAACTAACTTCAGTGACCTATCAAGGGAGGGTAATTTGGGAATGACCATGGACAAATCACAATGAAATGCAAGTATGAACTGTTATAGTAAAACCCATTATTTTGTACATAATAAATAAAAGTGTAAAAAAATGATGACTCATATAATGAAAGCAAATATTTGCAAGGTTTCAGGCTGAAATCTCACAGTATCCACATACATCTCAGAAGGGATTTCAGTTGAGGATATATAAAGACTCTTTACAACCTGTAATGAGGATAATAAAATGTGACCTTATTAAACATTGACAAAAGAGTCTATATCTTCAGAGAAGATTTGCAATGGTCAATAAACTCACAAAAAGATGTTGAACTCTGTTACTGATTATCTAAATGCAAATCCAAGCTGCACTAACACACCACATCAAGATGCCATTTCCCACCCACTAGGTTAAATATAAGGGAGAAAGACAGACAAAAACAAGTGTTGATGAATATTCTGAGAGCTTGGAACCCATAAACTTTGCTTGTAAATTGTGCAGATACTTTGGAATAAGTAGACTTGAAATAGTAGATGTTCTTCTAAGGGTTGCCTATGTTTTTCCTGTATCATTAGTGATTATTCTCCTTGGTATAGATCCCCATAAATTTTAAAACATAACTCCATAAAAACTTGTTCATGAATATTTACGATCACATTATTCATAACAGCCTGTTTTAGTTTCATTTTGTTTGCTGTGAGAAAGGTTCCAGACAAAAGGTAACTTGGGGGAAGAAAGGGTTTATTTTCGCTTACAATTCCAAAAGGACAGAATCCATCCTGGTAGAGAAGGCATGGTAGCAGGAGCCTAAGGTCGGTCTGGAAGTCAGGAGGCAAAGAGAGATCAAGAAAAGTAGCCAGGCTGTAAAACCTCAACCCCTCCCCCCAGTGACATACTACCCCTAGCAAAGCACCTTCTCCTAAACAGCGCCACCACTGGGAACCCAGCTTTCAAACACATGAGCCTATGAGAGACATTTCACATTTAAACAACAACACAACCTCAGATGGCAACAACTGAACAATTAACAGTGAGGTTCTGGGAATGCTTCTGTCTCAGTCACCCAGTCTCTTCATATAAGATGGGGGATAACAGATGTGTGTGCTACCCATGTCTGGCTTTATGTGGGTTCTGAGGACTCAAACAAAGGTACTCACGCTTGTGTGGCAATCTACTGAGCCATTTTCTCCCCTCCCCCTATTTTTAGATGGCTTTCTATTTGTTTGAAAGGCAAATTAAAGGCCTTCACATTTTTCCATCATCTCTCTCGAGTGTATGTATTCATACATCACTCATTACTTCCTTGCTCACTAAGAATTAAGAGTTCTATTTGCTAGTGTCTACATTTCTACACAATTAAGCTCACTTCTTTCTGTGGGTTATGAACTTTATTTCATCTATTATTCCATTATCCTTCATGTATTCGACTCTTGTTCCTCATTCTGTATTTCTTCTTGCTTCTTCTGTGTATTCCACTGTCTCTCAGAACTGTGGTTTCAAGTTCACCAGGAACACAGAGTAGATGACTACTCACTGCTCATGTGAACTCCAGTTCTAAGCCATGGCAAAAAGAACATCTGTGAGCCCTTAAGTGACCAAGAGAATACAGAGTACAATGTAGAAAAAAGTATACAACATCAAGTAGTCTGCAATGGAGGAATGTTCTAAATGGTGGCACTTCTTATTCTCTTTAAGCAAATGGTGTGTGTGTGTGTGTGTGTGTGTGTGTTGGGTATACACATATATATCAGATACTCTGCTGAAGAATGCATGTCCCAAAGAAATTATTCAAGGGAAGAAAACATAGCCTACATGTACATTCCTGGAAGAAGGAATGTGTAAATGTGCTGACATAGATGCCACAGACTATCAGGCAGCATTTAAAACTCAACTGATATACAAATAGCAACATGAGTGGATTTTTAAAGCATACTACTAGGAGGAGAAAGGTACGTGTGTGTGTGTGTGTGTGTGTGTGTGTGTGTGTGTGTGTGTGTGTGTATGATCTATGTGAATTACACATATGACTATAATAAGACGCCATGGACCTTTTCTGGGGGCACTTACATATAAAATATGCATCTTTTGCACCATCCATCAGTTGTTTATGAAGACAGGGAAGTGGGAGCAGGTTATGGGGTTCAAAAAAGTAGGAAGGAGGGAAGGGGCTTTGGTTTAGGCTTTGTGTTCTCCAGTGGTCCACATGCTAATGGCTTGGTTCCAATCTGTGGTGATTGCGAGGTGGGGACCCTCTGGTTATTGTTCTCTCTCTTCCTCTCCCTTTCTTCCTCCCTCATTTTCTCTCTCTCCTCCTTTCCCTCCCTCTTTCTTCCTCTCTTCCCCATTTCCCCTCCCTCTCTCCCCTTCCTCTTCCTCTCCCCATCCCTGTCTCCCCCTCCCTCCCCCTTCCTCCTTTTCTCCCCCCTCTCCAACCCCTCTCCCTCCCTCTCCTTGGCTTCTATGATGTAAGCAGATTTGTTCTGCCACATTCTCCTCATCATGGCGCTGTTTTACCTCAACCTTAAAAGAAGTAGATCCAGCCAAATGTGGACTGCAGTCCTTGAAAGGGGAAGCCCAAACAAACTTTTCTCTTTTAGGAGTTGTTTTTCTCAGGCATTTTGTCACAGAAACAGAAAGATGACCAACACAAAAGGTGTTCACAGACACAGCAGAATATTGCTGGAAAGATAATTTATTTAAAATTCATATATAGTGAGTCAAAGAGAAAAGCTGTGGGAAAAGGAATAAAATATTGCAGAAAATGGATTTTCTAGTAAAAGGGTTCTGTGGACATTCATTTATGTAGTCTTAGTTACATAAAGATATAACTGATAGTACTATACAATCCTCAGTATAAATTATGCATCATTTAACCATAACTGGTTAGTTAGATGTTTGATGTTTAGAGATAGTCTGCCTCACTCACAATGAGGTGCTTATTATCTATCTTTTAATTATAAAATTGCTTTGAGTCAGCATTACTTCACTTCACCAATATTAGGCATAGAGTCCATGCTAGAAAATATGTGCCCATTCATGAGATTTCTTGGGCTTAGAGAAACCCTTTAACTCAGGCTGACCAGATTCAACCCCTGATTAATTTGTGACAATGAAATAAATTCATGCTGAATTTCCCACATGGAAAGACAAACATATTCATTGCTATCATTTTTAATTAATGAAATGGAGGAGAGGAAATACTGAGGCAGATAATAAAATTCCATTTCTGAGCATTCTCTTGAACAAAATGAAGTTCTTCACTCATCATTGAACTTGACTGAGGCCATGATACTTCTTTTAGCATGCGAGAAAAGGTTTGTTTTCTTCTATGAACCTGAGGTAAGACAGATGGCAGGAAATTGCTCATTAATGTGATCTGAGATAAAGAACTATGCAATTTCAGTAGCACTTTTAAAGAAATCTAAGCGGAAATAGTCTTATCATTGAGTCTTAAATAAGATCATGAGCTGTTTTTTTTTTCTCTTTCTCTTTTGTGTTGGTCCTAGAACCCAGACCCTTATAGATGCTAGCAAGGGCTTCACCTGAGATATACTTCCCAGACAAAACTTTGTTGTTTTTTAATCTTATTTTTTAAATAATTTTTTTCTCTTTTTTCTCTCCTGCTATTTCTTTCCCATCTTCCCTTTTCCTCTCCTGTATATTCTGCTCTTCTCCATTTAAAATTTATTACTACACATAGAAAACCATTTCAATTTTTGTTTTTTTCTTGTCCCTTTGTTCAAAGAATTGTGTGTTTTGCTTTTAAGTCAAGCCACATACACCTTTAAAATGATTTATATATGTGTATGAGTGTTTTGCTTGCATTGCATACCTATGCACCATGCATGTTTCTGGTACCCACAAGAGCTGGAGGAGAGTTGTTGGATTCCCTGGAACTGGAATTATAGATGCTTGTAAGCCAACATGTGGGTTCTGGGAATCAAACCTTGATCCTCTGCAAGAGCATCAAGTGCTCTTAACCATTGAGCCATTGCTCTAGTTCCAGCCATATATTTTTTTAAAGTTTATGAGTGTTATGATTTTAGATGAACTTCAATTCCATATCTCACTACATTAGATAAGGAAAATTCATTGAAAGGCAAATAGTGATCGAGATATAAGTACCCTCATAAGTACCCTCAGAGATAGCTTCTGAGGCAAGATAAAGTGGAAAATCTAAGAAAAAATTATCTGATAATGTTTTCTCCCATTTAAATTTTATCACATTAATTTCAGACAGAGATTACTTAACGAATTCTATCTACAAATTTAGATGGCACACTGAACAAAGTGTAGTTATGGAGTAAGAATCAGCGGATGAAGAAGCTGGGGTAGAGTGTTTGTGGAGGTTGGATGGTGGGAACTAGGCTCAGTTAAGTAGTGCTGAAAGTAAAAGCCAGCACCAGTGTCTCTATCACTGCACTTTATCCCAAGTTACCTACCCGACCTCTTTTCATGTGCTTCTTCTGGTTATCAGACAGAGAGCCTCACTAATGCCATGTGTCCTCTACTACCGAGCTACATCGTTAGCCCCACTCACTTCATAGAGGGTAATTTATTTAGCTTCAGTTATAGAAAGAGCTGTTTGGTGCCAAACAGTTTTGCAAAATATTTTCACCTACCTCTAGCCACAGTTTAGAGATGACACTACTTGTGCTTAATTCTCAGTTATTTGAACAGGATATATCACAGAAGTTAGTAGCTTCTGTTCACTGAAGGAAAAATGATATACTCACTGTTTTAGTCTTCTGTGAATCTTGCTCTATAGGTCCACTCAGTTACTACGGATGCCACAAGCATCTCCAAGATAGTGAACAGGAAGAGATATTCTGTAAGCATCCTACCACTTCTCTGTACCCCAAAAGAAAACATACAGTCTTTACTTAATATTTTTCTTTATTTTTGAGAATGTCATATATGTATACAATGAAATATTATCTACTCCCATTTATCCCTTCAACTCCTCTTATGCCAACCCCCAATTTCCCCTTCTAATTTTGTGTCTTTTTTGATAGTCCCTATATGCCTATATGTGGAGCCACCCACTAGATTAGTGGCCATATCCTTACAGAAGTGTGATTCTACTTCCAACAGCAATTATCTGCTTCCAATAGCTCCCTAGAAAGGGTTGGCGCCTGGTGTTCATCTACCCTGTCTATGCCAGAATTTTAGTTGGCTGGATCTTGTATAGATCTTGTGCAGGTACCACAGATGCTATGAATTCTTTATAATGACAGCCATATCATGTCCAGAAGATGTCATTTCACAGCACTTCTCCCCATCCTTCAGCTCTTACGTTCTAATTCTTCTGCATTGTTTCTTGTACCTCAGTGCTGGTGAGATGTCAAACAGACCTAACATCTACAGAACTTTCATTCAAGCACTGAACAATATGCTTTCTTTTTCTAAGCAGCCTAGAGAACTTCCTCCAAAATCTATCACATATTAAGACACAAAACAAGTTTCAACCAATATAAGAAAATTGAAATAAAATCCCATGTTCTATCTGACCACAAAGGGATAAAGCTAGATATCAACAGAAATAAAAACTTCAAGACGTATGTCAACTCATGGAGATTAAACCACATATTGTTGAATAATTGTGTCATTGAAGAAATCAAGAAGGAGGTAAAAACCATCCCTAGAATAGAATGAAAGTAAAAATATGACAGAGTGAAATCAATGGGACACAATGATGACAATCCTAAAAAGAAAGTTTACAGCACTTGGTGCCTACATCAAAAAAGTTATCTCAAGTTAACAATTCAATAATTCACCTTAAAAACTTGGAAGAAAAAAGAACAAAGCAAACTCCAAAATAGTAGCTAGGAATAACCAAAAACAGGAAATAAGGCAATAAAATCAAGGAAATAAAAGTAAACAAAAAACAATACAAAGAATCAATAAAATCGAGAGTTGGCTCTTTAAAATAAAAAGATTGACAAACCCTTAGTCAAATTAAGTAAAGGAAAGATGGAGAATACTTAATAAAACAGAAATGAAAAAAGAGACATTACAATACTTTCCACCAAAATTCAGAAACGATAAAGACATGCCTTAAGAACCTACATTTCACAAGCTTGGAAGACCTAAAGGAAATGGAGGAAAATCTAGAGGCATTCAACATATCAAAATTAAATCAAAATGAAAGAAATAGCCGGGCGGTGGTGGCGCACGCCTTTAATCCCAGCATAATTGAAACATCTCCACAACCAGAAACAAGACTGAAGAGGTAATAAAATGTCTTCTAAGAAACACCATGGATTAACTACAAAATTCTACCAGTACTTCAGAGAAGAATTAACATCAATACAACTCAAATTAATTTCATGAAATTGCAAAGGAAGGAAGGCTTCTGTGCTTGTCAGTTTTTTTTTTTTTGTCAACTAGACACAATCTCCAGATACCATATAAGGGAGGCCCTCAACTAAGAATTTCTCTGTCAGACTGGCCTGTGTCCATGTCTGTGAGGAATTGTTTTGATTGATGAGTGCTGTGGCAGGGTCCAAACCACTATGGATATCACCATCTTTAGGCAGGTGAGTGTAGGTTGTATAAGAAAGCTAGCATGGAGCAAAACAGAGAGTCTGAGAGTGAGTGAGTAAGCAGTGTTCCCCTACAGTTTCTGCATCAGTTTCTGCTTGAGTTTCTTTCCTGACTTCCCTAAGTGATGGATTGTGACCTGGAAGTGTGGGTTGAAATACACTTTTTGCTCTTATAAGTTGATTTTGGTTAGTGTTTTATTACAACAATAGAAAGCAAACTAGAGCATTTTCTAAACTCTTACTTTTTAATGGTAAAAATCACTGAGGTATAGCTGTATTGTAGGAAGGAGAAAAAAATGAAAAGATAAACAGTTGACTGTATCCTTATACCCTCAGCAGCTGAAAATTCATGCATATACTTGATCATATGATAATTAATAGTTATTGAGGATGGTGAATTGATACATTTCTGCCAAAAGTATAATGGGAATCATTATTTCCCATTAAATCATTATCAATATTTCTTCTTTGTTGTTGTGGATAGAACCAGCATATTTTCTTAAGGATAGTGAGCCTCTGGAGAAGATTAAATTGAGATACATTTACTTTTGAGGTTTGGTGTAATAGGATTTATTTAATAGGTAAGTATCTATAATGATATTTTCCCCTATTATTTAGTAAATGATACTAGAGGGGAATTGTATTTCCTATATCAATAAAATGGCCCTCTTATGTGTCACTAAATTGATTTTTATTAAGGCTCTATTTACTGTGGTGAGGTGACTTGGAATTTAGCCTTGATCAGCATAAATGCTCTTCAGGTGACTATGACTTTGAGCAAATAGCTAAACATTTTGAAGGTTGCTTCTTTATTGAGTAAGAGACACATAGGCTTCTATCTATATCCATATTTATTTATTATAAAGTTTCTCTCAAAGATACATAGAAATAAGAAAAAGGTAAAGATTAATTACAAACCCATATATACTTTGGAACTAGTCTATTAACCATAACTCTCATATGTTGAAGTAAGGAGAGCTTTCTTAGATACAAGGAAGTTAGATACAAGCAACATCCAACGGCATCAATTTAAAAAAAAAAATGTGGTTTCTAGGTATTGGTTTAAAGCCCAGATGTTTTGGCATCTGTAAAGCCCTGGGCATAGAATAGAAGGACAATAGTCCATAGACAAGAATTCAATACCATGGCTTCAAATTCTTACATAATTTGCTTAGCATCTCTCTCTTCTCTGTCTTCATCATCCTTTCTCTTCACACCAACAAACCTAAGTCACTAAGTGTGCCTATGTTCCTAGTTCCACCTACACACCACAGATACACAAACACAAACAGCCTTAAATAGTTCTGCATGGACCCTCTGACAGACAGATGTGGAAACATAAGAATGTCCATATGGCATTGTGCAAATGGAACTGAGTATAAGAGCCTTCCAAATTACGTCTACTATAGAGATGAGCTTCAGTATGTAAACCACAGCAATTTCTTTTTTTAAATTTAATTAATTTATTTTTATATCCCAACCACATTTCTTCTTACTCCTATCCTCCCTTTCTCTCACCCAACTCCACCCCCAAATCCTCTTGTCTATTTTTGTTCAGAAAGGGTCAGGCTTCCCATGGCATACCAAGTGGTGTTAAGGCTAAGCACCTCCCCTTGTATTTAGGCTGTGCAAGGTAATAAGTATGAGGAATAGGTTCCCAAGAGCCAGACAAAGCATAGGGACAGCCCCTGCTCCCATTGTTAGGAGTCCCACAAATAGATCAAGTTACACAACTGTCACATATATGTAGAGGGCTTAGGTCTGTCCAATGCAGACTCCCTAGTTGTTGGTTCAGACTCTGTGAGTTTCTTCTATGAGCCAGGTTAGTTGTTTCTGTGGGTTTTCTTGTGATGTCTTTGACCCCTCTGGCTCCTAAAATTCCCTCTCCCTCTCTTCAGCAGGATTCTCTGAACTTGGTCTAATGTTTGGCTGTGGGCCTGCATCTGTTTCCATCAGTTTCTGGATGAAGGCTCTTGACTACAGTACTTTCCTTGATCATGACCATATCGGTAATATAAATCCATATGGGTGCCATTTCATTCTTGGAAGAGGAAAGTCTTTTTTTTTTTTTTTTTTTTTACTTTTTTTTTATTATTATTATTTTACAACACCATTCAGTTCAACATAATAGCCACAGAATCCCCTGTTCTCCCCCTCTCGCCCACCCCTCCCCCCAGCCCACCCCCTATTCCCACCTCCTCCAGATCAAGGTCTCCCCCGAGGACCGGGGTTGACCTGGTAGACTCAGTCCAGGCAGGTCCATTCCCCCCTCCCAGACCGAGCCAAGTGTCCCTGCATAAGTCCCAGGATTCAAACAGCCAACTCATGCAACGAGCCCAGGACCTGGCACCAATGCACAGCTGCCTCCCAAACAGATCAAGCCAAATGACTGTCTCACCCGTTCAGGGGGCCTGATCCAGTTGGGGGCCCCTCAGCCTTTGGTTCATAGATCCTGTGCTTCCATTCATTTGGTTATTTGTCCCGGTGCTTTATCCAACCTTGGCTTCAACAATTCTCGCTCATATAAACCCTCTTCTTACTCACTAATTAGACTCCCAGTGCTCCACCAGGGGCCCAGCCGTGGATGTCTGCCTTCACATTCCTCAGTCCTTGGATGGGGTTTATGGCACCACTATCTGGGTGTCTGGCCATCCCATCACCAGAGTAGGTCAGTTCCTGCCGTCTCGCGACCATTGCCAGCAGTCTTTTGAGGGGGTATCTTTGTGGATCTCCGTGGGCCTCCCTAGCTCTCTGCTTCCTCCCCTTCTCACCTTCTCATGTGGTCTTCATTTACCATGGTCTCCTATTCCTTGTTGGAAGAGGAAAGTCTTACTCTAGCAAATTTATTTAAAGCCTTTGGAAAACTGGTCTTAGAGATGTGAGTACCTAGGAAGAATGAGCTGCCAATCATAAATGAATCATAGCAACCAGGAGGAATCAGGATTGACTATAATGCTTCATCAATAAAAGATATGTATTAATATTTTTAAGAATTTAGTTAATCATCTAGGCTTTGAACTATAACATGTAGCTTGTATCACATTAATAGTAGGCACATATGCCCAAGAGGAAACTGATGGAGGTCTCTTGGTGATTTGACTAATACTTGAATATTTTGGTCCTCACTGAAGGCATAATTCTAAAATCATGAAGAAATTCTCTCAGAAACCCAGTACTTACATGCTGCCACAAAGGAGATTCTAAATCTGCAGTCATCATCAGTTCGATTGCTATTAAAAACACACCTATTAGTGTTGTGAAGATGCTTAAGATGTTCATTGTCATAGTCCAAATCAGCTAGAACAGATTAAAAAGTATTGTCCAGTCATTGGAAACTATTCCATATTCATTTTTGGCAAGTGTATTCTTGTAGAACTATAAAAATTCTAATTTTTATACAATAGTGAGATCACCAGAAAGGTTGTCAGAACTGCAGATTGGTTAGGCTCCTAGTAGGACCAAACAATTTGGGGGATAATAAAACTTTTGATGAGTTGTGCATGTACTTGTTTCTCTACTGGTATCTGATTGAATGCCTATTTTGTGCTGAATTAATAAAGAGACAGAAAAGAAGCAGTCTGTGCATTAGATGTTTTTCAGGCTATGGAAGAAAGTTGAATGCATATTAAATGTAAATAGAATATAGAGAATATACACATGATATTGACAATTTCACAATACCACACAGCTTTATATTACCAGATACCTACTATTCTAGGAGATTGCTATGGTTCTTGGACAGCAGGAAAGTAAAATTTAGGGAATTTTCTTGGGCATACAGGTGCTATCTAGCTCAATGTGAAGTTTTTCTTCATGATGTAGGGAGTTACATACTGTTGGAGGTCATTCCCCAGGCCACATATTTGTATCCTTGTCAGGCTACATATACTCCAGACAATTTATGCTTTATAATGTTGCTGAATAATTGTGCTTTATCCACATATGACGCCAGGGAGGTAAAACATCATTTAATATTGCTATTAAGAAGAATTATTTTCATACTTATTTCTTTGTCCATATTCACAATAATTTCTTTCCAGTTAATAAATCTAGACAGCAAGTATGACAATTTGAATGACTAGGTCTGAAACCTACCTCAAAGAACAAAGTATCTTCATGTTTAACAACTGTTATATGTTGTTTGTTGATGTCAGTTCATTTATTCTTTTGGAAAAGTTCTCCCTTACAGAAAGAAAACCAATGAAGGTTATGAAGAATTCTATCTCAAATTGCCTAGGAAACTGTCTCCATACAGGCTAGCTTTCATGGTGCTGAATGGTGTTATGCACTGTGTGTTAATGGAACAAAGATACCAACAGTCTTACTCAGCCCTGTACATTGTATGCTATAATACCAACCTGCCAGGCATATTATGCTCACTGGTGCAATAGTGGTATGTCTAGTATGGGAGTAGCCAACTGCTTTCTGATTGGTTTTGAGACCTATTCCACAGGATGAATTCCATGTCTGGTATTGTAAACTTCATTAAAAGCCTATGGCTGGGGATATCATAGGCCGTAGTGGGGAACCTACTGATTTTGTTTCTTTCATTAAATGGTTATGTTGTCAAGCTGCCTTCTAAATATTCCTATTTATACCCATAAATTGGTGCTGATTTTACCCTAGGTCAGAGAAGCTTTTTGTAGTGAGTAATGGTTAATTCAAAGAGTCATAACTGGTAAAGATGTTGAGAATAAATGGCTATGAGTTGCTCAGCCATAGATGGCTTACCTCTGCCAACCTCTTCCTACTAAGGATACTTAGGGGACATATTGGAAAAGGGAGCGGAAAGAATACAAGAGCTAGAGGATGAGGAGAGCAGAGAAATGCTGTCTTCTAGACATGACATGGATGTTGCATTGATCAACTTGGAGCACCTGTGTAAGAGCCGCATGAGAAAAAGCCAGTCAGAATTCTAAAATCAGGAGAAGGGCTCCCAAGGTTTCACACCTAGCTGAGGAGCTAGTGACAGTTGGTGGCTGCTGAGGGAGTGAGAATCACTTTTCTGTGGGGATGTGGCTTCTGGCAGATTGCCCACGCCTCAATGGATGACTTCATGCCCATGTACACACGGTCAGCACTAATTGGACTCAGGGCTATTAGTAATTATAATAATAATAATAATAATAATAATAATAATAATAATAATAATAGGACATGATGTTGGAAGGGAGATGGGTTGAGAGGGGTATCCCAGGAGGAGTCAGAGGGAGGTAGTGGGGGGTAGATATGATTAAAATACACTGTATGTGTGTATGAAAATGTCAAAGTTAACAAAAATATCACTAGACAAAACATTCATTCGTTTATTTTTATACCCTTAAAGTCCAACAATATTGTTTGGTTATTTGTAATTTAATGTATTTCACTCCTTAAAGTTGAAACATGTGCTGAAGTTTTAGTTACATGTAAAAGTGATGGTTCTAGGGCCATAATGTTTATTAGAAAAAGAGGTTTAATAAGCAACTGTATTTTAAGGTCCCTGGGAGAAGGGGTTTTACACATTGAGTTTTTCTGGCCAAAGTTATCTGAATACAACAAATAAGAACACTTGTTTGACTTCTAGTCTGGTGAGGGGTGCTACAGAAATGCCATAGGCAGCAAATACTTTGGGAAACAGTTTGGTAGTTTCTTTTAAAAAGGATAAATATCCATTACAAGAGGAACAAGAAATACGTCTGTAATAATACTTGTGGGTAAGCATTCATAGTAGCTTTATTTGAAAGGGTTCAGTACTGGGAACATTGTGATTCCCTTACCAGGTAAGTGTACCAACAAATTACCCAGACATCCAATTATTTTTTTTCTATAGCCAATTTATATTCTGTAACACTGATAAATTAGCTTACTAATTTATTCTAGATTTTTTGTAGATTTCTTTGGAAGTTGTAGGATGTTTTAGCATGTTTCTGATGTCTTCAGATGAAGCACATATTCTGACTTTTTAATCTTGAAGGTCTTTGTCTTTTTTTTCCCTTGACTTACTACACTATACAACATATAATGTTGTACACATATACACGGTTACTGGTTGGTTTAGTTTGCTTTCAGTTGCTGTGATAAATACCATGATCAAAAGCAATTTAGGGAAAAGGGCTTTATATCATCTCACAGTCCACCACAGAGGGAAGCCAAGACCAGGACTCAAAGCAGAAACATTGAGACAGGAACCATGGAGGAACACTACTGACCCGCTTACTCTCTCTGGCTTGCTCAGCTAGCTTTCTTTTACAGCCTAGACCAAATTTCACAGGAATGGCACCACCCACAGTAGACTAGGTGCTCTTACACCACTTAGCAACCAAGAAAATGCACCACAGATGTGGCCATGGGCCAATCTGATGGAACTCTTCAATCGAGGTTTTATCTTCCCAGGTAACTCCAGGCTCTGTCAAATTGACAATAAAATCTAACAAACACACTAACCTCAGAGGAAAGCATTCAGTCTCATGCTGCTATGCAGGAAAATAGATTTTTTTGAATGTCACTTTGTCAAATTGAGGAAATTCTCTTCCTAGCTTTTTGTGAGTGTTTTGTCCAAAAAATGTGAAATACATCTCTAAAATTATGTTTATATGTTATATTGCACTCTTTTTGAGAATTTTTTAATTGCGAGGGTAAATTCTATGTCATTACAATCTTCTTTGCAACTCTGTTTTTGCACACATACACATATGGTGTGTGCGTACATATGAATGTTTGTGTATGTATCTCTGTGTGTGTGTGCATGTTTGGCGTTGTGCAAATGTAGAGGTCAGAGAAAAACTTCAGGTGTCGATTCTCATCTGCTTTGAGTAGAGTCTCTTTTTCACTTTAATTGCATATGTCAGGCTAGCCAGCCTGGGGCCTTCTGAGGATGCTGTTGTCTCTGACTCCCATCTTGTTGGGAATCACTGAAATTACAGATGTATATTATTAGCATGCCCAGTGTTGATGTGGATTCTGGGGATCTGAATTCAGGTCCTTTTGCTTGCACAGAAAGTGAGCCATAACCCTGGTCCTTGCTTCTTATAGTTTGAAGTTTGGATTTGCCAAGTCTTAAGAAATAGTGCCTTTATCATCATGAAACTTGTTTGAATATGCATGTATGGCAATAATACCATTTCTGTACTTTCATTGTCTGAGATGACATAACTACTCCACCTTTCTTTGAATTGATGTTATGTTTCTCATACTTTAAATACCGCCCTCCCCACAAAGCTTCTGGGTAGATATCTAGTCACCAGAGGGCATGCTAATTCCTCATTGACTTTGTTTTTATTTTAAAATTTTTATTTATTCTTTGAAAATTTCATACTTTCACTGATAATGAAAGCTTTCTAGAGTTGTTCTGAGTCTTCTGACTTACCATGTAATTTGAAGGCCTCCTCTGTAATGCTATTGAAAAGCTTCCTGATAGGCTAAACTGGAAGCAAAGACCACATTGGTTAATGCCCAATCATTACATCCATATGTAAGCTTCAAGATCATTCTAGAATTCTGTAACATGAGGGATACCATCTTAATTCCTTAGTGGGGACTACTAAGGAAACAACTCAAGAAATAATTCAAGATTTATATTGATAGAGATGAAAGCTATGAAGGTTCTAGCCACTGTTACAACTGTAATGGGAATGGGACCCAGGGGCGCTTTGAAATGACTTTAGCATTTCACTTGTATTGGTGATTTGAATCAAACAGATTTTGTCTTCCATATATGTTCCTTGTGTTTATTATCATGGCTGCAAATGTATCAAATAGCCCCTTTACAATGTAGACTGTTATTATGAAAGAATATTATGGGTAAGAAACTAGGATTTTTTGGTAATGTATCAAGTGGCCCTTTAACAATGCAGACTGTTATTATGAAGTAATATTATAGCTAAGAAACTAGTTTTTTCTTAATGTAACAAATGTTCCTTTAGCAATGTAGAATATTATTATGAAAGAACATTGCAGGTAATAAACTAAAGGTTTAAAAAAACATTTTTCTATTGTCCTTTTAAAGGTAGATGTGGTTATGGTCTCCTAAAGAACAGGGATTGTGTATCCTTTAGGACACATTGCTTGGATCCGAATCCATGAAATGTAAGGAATACATTAGTAGTTACTATTAGAGATGAAGTTACTCACAAACAAAGAGGCCCAAAGTGAGTATCCTGAAGCGCTTATGATAGGAAGATACCCACTTGTCAGTCCAAATGCAAAACTTTGAGAAAAGAACAGGTATGTCCAGAAGTATCCCAGGCTCTGTATAATCAGGCTAGTCATTAGTTGTATAGTCTATAAGAAAAAGACACCATATTTAGTCACAGTTCCAGCTAACTCTTAAGAGGGAAACACACCTCAAGAAGGCGGCCAGAATGAAGAAGAAAGGTGTTGCTTACCACGGTAGTGATGCTTACAGAACTTTAGAATGAGGACATCAACTGTGGTATGATGTTCTGTGTATGGTTCTAGGCCATTTTGTCATGTTTTATCAACTATAATCAAGTTACAGACCTATTCTGTCACTACAGAGACATCTCAAGTTCTACCTTTTCTTGCAACTTTCCCACTAACACTTGTAACTCCTGGTGATCACTCATCTGTTTCTGGGAGCTTTTAAAATATTTATCTAATTTCTCAAAAGCTTGGGAGTCTATTAAGGCTCATCGTTTCTATTTTCACTTGATCTCTATTTGTTATTCTTCTGTGTAACTGTCCATTGAGTTCTTTTATGAACTAAAACAAAAACAAAAACAAAAACAAAAACAAAGCCAGCTGACTGAACCATGGTAGTTCACACCTGAAAGGCCCTTGATGGACTGAGGATGCAGGAGTAGTAGTCTGAGGTCCCATGTGCTACATAGACACCTTCCCAAAACACAGACAAACAACTCCTATTCCCCAAATCAGTTGACTGTATCTGTGGAATCTAGTTGTGGACTATGTGTTTTGTTCTATTTGTTTGTGTTTTCCTTATTTTAAACAAAATCACATAATCTGATGGTGGTAGGCAGACATTATCTTAAAAAAATTGACTACTTTGATTTAGTTGTTTTTGTTTCTTCTCCTTCTCACACAATCTTTGGTAATTTATAGATATTTATAGGACATTGCTAAGGTTTAATAGGAATTGTGCCAAACCTATATGCCAATTTAGGGAGAATTAACATTTTTACTATGTTGAGCTTTACAACCCATAAACATGTCTTTTTATTGATGTAACCTAATTTGTATTTTCACCAGCTTTTAGTCATTTTCAAAATGCAAGTCCTATATGGTTTCTTCAATATATATGTTTTTTCCTTTAAGGACTGATATCTTCCTCTTCATTCTTATCTTATAGAAACATAATTCACCTTGTATACTATGATGACTTTGCTTAACTTACTTCTAGATCCCCTGTACGTGTGTATGTGTGTGTGTGTTGTGTGTTTTGATTGCTTAGGATTTTTCTCACATAATTTTTAATCCTTCACATTTTACTCTTCATCTGGCCCTGTCATTCAGCAGTATGAGTGGATGGTGCAAAATTGCACAGCCAAAGTATGGAGTGCATGGGATTGCCTGGGAAAACAGTAGTGTGTCTGTCAGCTAATGTGACCAATCGCTGTTCAGAGAGCTGTGTAGTCTGCAAGCTGTTCTGGGTGTACCGACAATTTGCTCATCTCATTTAGGACATTTCATCAGCTTAGGATTGAAATAATTGATAGATGATAAAAAGAATATTTTTCTATATCCAGACTCAGTATATAGTTTGATGCCATGTCACCATTAGAAGCCATTGTAATTGATTTGCCTCCATTTGAGGAGTTCATAATAGATACAGAGGTGGTTCAGGTCTCCTCCCTCATGTGTTAAGGAGTGCCAACCCTCTCACAGTTAACTTACTCACTTGAGCAGCATTTTGTTCTTACCCCCAACAATTTCAGTTCCATTTTTATCCACAGACGATTCTGTGGCATTTCATCAAGATGTAACAGAGAGATATGAGGATATCTCCTGTGAAAAATGTGGACAAAAATCAATATAAATTGAATCAGTTAGTGACTACTATTCTTCTCTTGGGTAAGATTCTTAAGTCTGAGGGGTACTCTAATTCTACAACTGCAATTCATTTTTTAAAAGATACTTGATTGTTCCCTGACAGATGCTTTTGCACCAGACTAGAAATATCTTGACAAAACTAATGTTTACCTCTCAAGAAGTTTTGTTCATTTATCAAACTTGAGTTAGACTATGGTAAGTACCAAATGATAGCTGCTCCAATCACATCAGTCCCTCTAGCACCCACTCATATGCCCATGTTGCAGCATCAGGAAGTTTAGACCCCTAATAACTTTGATTTAGTCTATTACTCATCATTGGTGCCATCTAAGTTCAAGTCTGTCTTGGGGTGCCTGACTAGAAGGATCTGTGCCACATGTTTACACTAGGTGCAGAGAAGGCTGGGATATAGGCAGGCTTTTTAAGTTAGAACTGAGGGGGGTGTTCAGTAGGCAAGACAAGAATAACTCATCATTTCTAGCATTGACAGGGAGGGCAACGGTTCCTATTTTGTAGGAGTCATAACCCTCCCTCAGCTTCTGTATTTAATACCCATGAAAATTGTTCTTTAATTCTAGCTGGTCTGAACAAATGTGGATATCTAAGTCACTTAGTAGAGGCACAGGGAAAACTCTTTTCCTGATGATCTGGAAGAGTTTGAGTGAGAAGATGTAAAAGCTAGAAGTCATGGCATTATTAGGTTTTCCCTGTTCTAAAGGACAGAATTAGAGTGGACAAAACTTCTGGTGTGGGAAGAAGGGTATCCAGAGAAAATCAGAGATGAAAGAACAGACTATATCACCTTTTAACCATCTTTAACCTCTTAGTTCTATTATTTTGGAAGTCTGGCTGTCTATACATTATATAAACACTCATACATATTAATTTTGCTAAAACAAATAAGATATAATTTATGGTTTTTTTTTCATCCAAAAAGTTAATATATCTTTTGTGTGGCTTTCTAGTTAGACATGGCTTTGATAATCCTCCTCCCAATCCCTTCCCCCTTATCCCCCACCCCTCCCCCAGACTCTAATGTCTGACCAATCTTTTCCCTTTTCCTTCAAACACTGTGTATAGTTGCATCTAAAATTCAGCATATTGTCTTTAGATCTTTAATTTGCAAACTTCTCCTTCTCTTATATAAGCCACAAACTCTGAAGGTTTCAGTTGCCACAGTAATGGCCCAGTGACATTTGACAAGGAGAAAATACACAAAGTCATAGCAAAAAGAATTTTAGAAGACACTTGGGTTAAAAACTTACCCATTATGAGGCGACCTTTTAAAAATGTAATAAACTCCGTCAAAGGCTCTTCTCAGTGACAAGAGTCCCCTGTAGGGTTGTATTGGGGAGGAAAAAGCAGCTGGTAAAAGGCTGAAACTCACCAGGAAGTAGTATCCAACGCCAGTCATTAACGTGGTCTGTTCAAGGCTCATGAATTCCCTACTCTGTCATGATCCTAAGGGTAGAAAGGGTTTCCTTTTGGTCTGGATCTTCCTGCTCTGGGGTTCCTGTAGGCAGCACCTGCCTCAGCAGCGCTGCCACCTCCATACGTCCCTCATTACCTCTGGTGAATCCAGTGCTGCTGCGGTTGTGTCCCAGAGCAACCGCAGAGGGTGCCACGCGAGGAGGGCCACGCAGACATTAGTTCTGCGGGCCCGTGGAAGCTCCGCCCAGCCTTCAGGCCCAGAAGATACAGACGGGGTTAGGGGGTGGCACGAGCGAGAAGAGGTCTAGTGTGGAACCCTTTCCTGACCCGTGGTGGGCACATTCTAGCCACTGAACCGCAGAATGCCTGAGCCCAACTACAGGCTGATGCCCCGCTCCAAAGACTTCCCTGCCAAGCAGATGCCTTACACTGTTTTCTGGTGGACAGACAGACGCAAGTCTTTCTATCGTGAGTCGCTTCCAAGTCTAGATAGATTTAGACTCGAGAAGGAAGAGTGCTCTTGGAACCCCGAATCTGGTGGTGCTTGGGCAAGATGTATCTTCTCTGGTTCTTTGTCTTTCTGCAAAGTAGAGGTCACAGTTGTTCTGGGTACTTCCCAGATTCAGAAACGAGATTGCACAAATCTGTCATCCACCCTGGGACAAGAAACTAACTAAACTCAGTAGGCAACACAAAAAGAAGATGTGGAGGCTAGAAGGGAACTTGTTGAGAAGGGATCCAGAGGAAGATGAGAGGAATTGGTGGGGTGTGTGAAAGATGACTAAAATCCATTATATAAACATATAAAACTGTTGACCAAACAAAAATAAATTAACTATGGAAAAGGCTACTGCTGTAATCTAGTCCTAAATAATACGTATTAAAGAATCCTAACTTGCTAGTCATGTTTATGAGGCCAAGTGTCATTTATGATATGGATCCCCACCCACTGAACATTTAGTGTAAGGGTGCTGTATCTGGCACCCAGTAGGAGGGAATAAATAAATGAAAGGTCATTCATTACTCAGATTATATTGGGTCTCAAAAGCAAAGGTGATTTGCTTGCCTGCTAACTAAAGCAATGTTTCTCATGGGCCATTTATTGAGCTTCCAGTATCAGATATTTTGTGTATTATATAATTCATGGAAAAAAGTCCTGTTGAGGATAAATATGAATGACACTAATTATGTATTGGGAGTAAGAACTGGAGGAAATACAGAACATTCCTTCTCTCTGGAGTTTACTTTGTTGGAAGGATGGGGTGAGAGATGAGTTTTTTTTTTTTGTTTTTTGTTTTTTTTTTTTTTTGAGAAAGAGTTTCTCTGTGTATCCCTGGCTATCCTGGAACTCACTCTGTAGATCAGGCTGGCCTCAAACTCACAGAGATCCTCTTGCCTCTGCTTCCTGAGTGCTGAGACTAAGGTAACGAGATCAGATAAATAGAACCCAGCTTAGGAGGTAAGGAGGAGGCAGAAAGAGGTCCCTGCAGATGCCCAAACCCTAGGAAAAGTGTGAAATGATGTCTAAATCTTCGAGGAGTGTACATTTGGTCGCTGGATTTTGCAATATGGCAGTGACTGCTGTCATTGCAAAAAGTGGCCTCAGAGGACAGATGGAGACCAGACTCAACCTAGAGTGCAGTCAAGGGAAAACAAGAGGTGATAATTTGGAGATAATAACTGACTTCTGGAACTCTGGTTTTAAGGAAAGAAAGATAATCGTGTGTAGATGGAGTAGAGCAAGGGAACTGCTTTAAGATGAAACTAACAATGAGTATGTGCCGGTGGGCTGACTGTGGAGGGATGGAAGCCCAGAGCCAGTTAAGACTTCTGACTGTGACCTCTGGAACATGCCTTTTGTCATGCACAGACCCTTGTACAGTCTCAACTTTCTCATCTGATACTTTGTCTTTTTGGACCCATCACTGAGTTTGCCTCTGGGGGAACTCTTTTGCTAAAAGCTTGCTCACTTTCTAGAATCAGGAGCTCTTGGGTATGAGAATGGAGAGTGCAGGTTCTGTGAATTCTATGGAAGCTTCTAGACCCACACAACTTAACAAACAGGTAGCTATATATGGCTATGGAACATTTGTGACATTGCTGGCTTGGATTGACTTGTGTTTTAAGTACAAAATGCACAAACAATTCTGAAGACTCCATATGATTAAAGGACTATAAAGCATATCACTGATGATTTTTACTTTCACCATTTAGATGTTTTGATTTATTAAGTTAGACTATGTTATCAAAATTAAATGCATATGTTTCTATTTACTCTCTTTGTGTGGTTACTAGGATAATTTAAAAATATACTCTTGGATTTTTTAAAATATATTTTATTTTTATGTGCATTTGTGTTTTTGCCATGGGTGTGGGGATCCCCTGAAATTGGAGTTATAGACAGGTGTGAGTTGTCATGTGGGTGCTGGGAATTGAACTCAGGTCCTCTGGAAGAAGAGTCAGCACTCTTAACCCCTGAGCCATCTCTCCAGCCCTACACTTGGATTTTTTTTTAATATTACCAATAGGTAAGGCTGTTCTCTATCTTTTGTGGTCTTGAAAACGACTCCCTTCTTTCAGGTTTTCCAAACTTTGTAATGTTTTGTTTGTTTGTTTGGTTTTTGGCCTCAATTTCTTCACTTTATTTTTTAAATTGTTTCTTTTATTTTTGAGATTATAATATAATTACATCATTTCTCACTCCCCTTTCCTTTCTCAAAAGCCTCCTTGTTCTCTTTCAAATTCATGGCCTCTTTTTCAATGAATTGTTTTTACATGTATGTATGTACACACACACACACACACACACACACACATGTTCCTACATATAACCTTCTCAGTTTGTGCACTTTTACTTGTTTGTATGTTTTCAGGGCTGACCATTTAGTATTGGACAACCAGTTGCTGAGCTCTTCCCTGGGGAAGACTATTCTCCACTCTCAGCATTCCTTAATTGCCTGTAGTTTTTTTTTTTTTTTGTGTAGGGTTGAGGCCTCCTGGGCTTTCCCTTGTCCACACAGGATCAGGAGGATTGCTGCAAAACAGTGGCTTTTAGACATGACAGCAATGTTGCACCCATGACCTCTCAATGTCTATGTTGACCTGCATAAGACTCACAAGACCAAAACGGCCAATATTTCAGAATGCATGGCTGAAGGGATCATAAGGCTCTACTCCTACTGGAGAAGATGCAGGTAGCCAACATCTATCTGGGAAGAGAGAGACAATTTTTTTTTTCAGTGATGGGGCCACAAGTAGGTAGCTCATGCTTTAGTGGTCAGCCCAGTTACAACTGGGTAACACTAATTGAACTCAGTATGTTATGCAGTTTTAAAGATAGAGGATATGAATTTGAGAGAAGGATGTAAGGTAGAGATCCCTTGTGGAGTTGGAGTCAGAAAAGAGCAAGGGTGTAATATGATCAAAAAGAATTGTAGTCATGTATGACGGTTCTCATTTCTTCAGCCTCTTCCTTCTCCTCTTCCTTCCCTTCTGTCTCTCCTCTTCTTTCCTCCTTTCCTTCCTCCTCTTCACCTTCTTCTTCTTGATTCTTCTTTTATATCTTATTCTTCCCCCTTTCCCTTTTCTCCCCTCTCCTCTTCCTCCTCCTTTTCTATAGAGGAATAGCCACCCTAGTTCTCATTTGAAATGTCCTCCCCGCATCTTTCAAGACCCCCCAAATACTAATCTCCTGTTTGGAATTTTCACAGAACATCATCATCTTTACACCAGAAAGAATGTTCTCTACTCTGTCATCCTCCCATTTTTCAAATGCCTCTTTATACATGAATCACTTACAGTTGTGATTTCTTAGCTGCTGGTTCCTCACCACTGCCACAGGGTGCCTCATCAATCTCTGACACCCCAGGCTTTAATATTTTCATTGAGCGTACTAGACATTCAGAAATGAGCTAAGCACTGAAATTGGTGGAATCAAGAAATCTTAATTGACAGTCATGGAGAACAACCAGTGAAATGCCTTGAGAGTCAGGGGAGAAAGCAGACAATTCACTGTGGTTGTAAAAACACTAGTGTTCCTTAGCACTGCTTGCATTGCTGAGGAAACTTCTCTGATACCATGTTCACATTAGAAGAACAGACAAGCTGCATGCAGAATAGCTCCCTGGGAAATGTTCCTCAACATGGAAAAGCAATTTGCTTTGCAATGGATTGAACATAGACTCTAATGATGAGGAGAAGAAAGCAGGGGAATGAGAAGGGAAAAAGGCAACAGAGACACATAGGACAGAAAGGAACTTTAATGAGGACAGGAAAAGCCATGGGACAATAAAGGCGTTGAATTGGTGACCATTTGATCCTTGCTTTGTGGAGGTAGAAGCTAGCTTGAGGAGAGGAATGCAGAATGTGGAATGTGGTTTTCACTCACAGGGACAGAAATTAAAGTTTTCCTCTGAATTACAGATTGTGCTCTAAATTTCATAGCCTGCACTCTACAGGTTACAAACAGCATTTTGCGATCTACTGCAGATGATGTGTTGTGGAGAGCTGACAGCTTTTCAGAGTTGCTAGCTGGCAGATGCTTCCTTTTGATAGTCTCTTGCTTACATAGGAAAAGCTTTCTCCTCTGGAACCTAGAAGATATATGTGTAAACATTCCTTACACACCAAGGGGGTAATTTTTAACCTGCTGTGAACTTCCTTTTGCACAAGAGGCATGCATTGTGCAGCAGCCTTGTTCTACAGAAATATCATGGGCACATACATCAGGCGTCAGCAGTCATGAAAGTTGTTCATGTCTCCAGCTTTCAGAATAATGTGCCCTCCACGGCATCAGTAACAGTTTCTAAACTTCCCTGTTGTCTTCTTCCCTGGAAAAGAAAAAGCAGCCATTTGCAGAAGGCATCCAGTGTTTCAAATCATGTGAGTAACAGATTTGAAACAATCTGAAATTGTTTATAGAGAGTAGTCATTGAAATAGTCATAGAGAGTACAGGCCACGTTGTTACTCAAAGAAGACAATCCAGAGTGCCATTGTCCTTTTTCTGTCTGTTCTCAATCCAATCTACTTTCTTTTAATGTCTCTATAACATAACTTTTGGCGTTACTTTCTGATTTTTTTTTTTAATGTGTTTGGTTGTTTTGCCTGCATGTGTGTTTGTTTACTGCTTGCATGCTTGATGCCTGAGGAGGCCAGAAGAAGGCATTAGATCTCTGGAACAGGAGTTACAGATAGTTGTGAGCTGCCATGTGGGTGCTGGGAATTGAACCCGGGACATCTGGAAAAGCAGCCCGTGCTGTTAATGAAATCACCATTCCTTGTGAATTTAGTGTTATTCAATAAATACTGACATTGTGGACAGATGTAAGTGTATTTATCTACATTTCTGATGCAGCATGCCTACACTTAGATCCCAGGGTTCAACTTCCTCTTTTCTAAATTCTGTTTTTGTCTGATCATTTTATTTAATGAGTCCTTGTTGCACCCATTACAGATGCTTCAGCTTTTTGAAGTCTTTCTTCTTTTCACCTCTGTTCTCACCTTCCACCAAGACTACAGGTCCCGAGCATGCGTTTCAAGTTATATGTTGTCCTAGTTGGGGTTTCTGTTGCTGGGAAGAGACACCATGACCACAACAACTCTTATAAGGGAAAACATTTAATTGAGGCTGGCTTAATTTAATCCATTGTAATCATGGCGGAAGGCATGGCACACAGGCAGACATGGTGCCAGAGAAGGAGCTAAGAGTTCTATGTCTGGATCAACGGGCAACAGAAAAAGAGAGAACCACTGGGCCTGGCTTAGGCATCCTCAAAGTCCACCCCCAGTGACACACTTCCTCCAATAAGACCACATCTACTCCATCTAGCAAGGCCACACCTACTCCAACAAGGCTACGCCTAATAGTGCCACTCCCTGTGAGCCTCTGGGGGCCGTTTTCATCCAAGCCATCACACAGGTTACTACTTTTGTTCCCTGTGTCTCTATTGATTTTTGAAACTGGACTTCTTTGATAATTGTTAGAAACTTTAGATAAATGTTAGATAATTTAAATCAATGGTTCTCAACCTTCCTAATGCTGTGGCCTTTTAACACAGATTCTCATGTTGTGGTGACCCTCAACCATAAAGTTATTTTTGTTGCTACTTCATAATTTAAAATTTTGGTACTGCTATGAATCATAATGTAAATATCTGTGTTTTCTGATAGTCTTGATGATCTTAGGCAACCTGTGTGAAAGGGTCAAGATCTACAGGTTGAGAACCACTGATTTAAATAGTTCCATCTTTCTTTCCCTAGGAGTGGTGGATGCTGCTTTCTTTCTAGAGACTTGCTTATACTAATTATGTGGAGTCTGTTTCCTTTGGAGCTTGCCTCTGATAAATTCTCACATTTTCATTATTTTCTGATTCCTAGTTCTTCTTTTAAGACTAATTTTTCTAGTCTACTACCCAGGGCTAGCACAATTACTCAGCTGGTCATCAGAAAGAGGCAATATTAAAAACACTTTGTTGTGGTCTGAATTACAGTCCTCGAAACTCATACATCAAAATCCTAACCACTGGCATATTGGAATGTGGAAATATTTGGAGAAGAGGTCTTTAAAGGGGCAATGAAATTATAAAAATGTCATTTGGTTGGGCTGTTGTCCAACATGACTGGTGTATGTAGAAGAGATCAGGATGCAGACTCATTCAAGGGAAGGCCACACAAGACACTGAAGGCCAGCAAGAGGGAGAGAGGCTCCGACACTGATCTCATAGCACTTTGGTCTTGAACTTCTAGACTAGAACTGTGAGAAAATAACTTTTCTTGTTTAAACCACATAATCTATGGTGCTTTGCTGTGGTAGAAGTAGAAAAATAAGACACATCTTCAGTCAATAAAGGCTGTTTAGTGCACTTGAGAAATGTAAAGTTTGGGTCATTTATGTATACTCCAGCTTTCCCCTTATTTTTGAAGGCTTTTTACGAGCCAAGGTGGGTAGCTCAGTAGACTCTCTCTAGTTTCCTCTGAATGTCTCTGATGAGTTTCTGTCAATTTCTTGTCCCAACAGTAATATGGTCTCCTATGATCTTAGCTATGATGAGTGAGTGTCTTGGTCTTACCTGCCTGTTTGCCATGGAACTTTCTGCTGTTTTAGTAGCACCCTTCCTGAGGAAACTTTCTATGTTATGCCTCAAGTAAAACCAGCTCTCAAACAGTAAGGTAAATCCTCCAAGTCTTGCTCACCAAGGTAAAGTTCTTTTCAATTGAGTTTAAGGGCTGGAGGAATAGGGCTACAATGGTTAATCCTGATTTGCAATGCCGGAAATTTAGAATCATCTATGAGACACACTGTTGGCTATTTTTGTGGGTGGTACAATACTGTGGGCTGAGGTTCTGGATCCTATAAAAGGAAGCAAGCCAGCCAGCTGAGCATCAACATATACCTTTCTGCTTCCCACTGTGGATGCAATGTGTATTCTGTAGCTTTATGTGTATGTATGTTTGTATTTAATTTGAATGTGTGGACATGATAAGAACAATGTTAAGGGAAGAATTACTGTGTGTGTGTGTGTGTGTGTGTGTGTGTGTTTAAATTTTAAATTTATAGTTTCATATATTACTCTTGTCATTTTGTTTTATGCTCATATTTTATGGCAAAAGAAAACAAAAAGGAAACATCATATATTACATTGTTATTAGTTCCAGACAGTTGTAGAATGCCTTAAGTTTGCTTACTAGAAACCAAAAGCCCATGGGTTGCTAGAGGAAACACTTACCAATTGCGAACAGTTGCAGATTGAGTATGAGAGGGCGACCCCAAATTCCAGGGGGTAGGAATACAACAGAATACGGGACACTTCCCTCCCCAGCTTCTGTAATCAGGAAATGGGGAGATGATGTATCATTAGTTTTAGCATGTGCCCCCTCCCCAAGAGGACCCTGGAGTGCTGCAGGCTGCAAACAATATGGGAAGTAGGGATTCAGCTGGTTATGACAAAGCTGTACCCTGAAGAGTTGAGAACTCTTCCAGAGGATGAGGCCAAGGCTCAAGGAGTCTTGGTAGTATTGGTTTTTGATTATTAGCCGTTTCCTGCTATGAATTTCTTCTGTGCTATTGTAGCTTTTCCATCATTCATTGGGCACAATTTCCCCCATAAAGTATTTGTATAACTTTCTCCAACTGTGCTAACAACAGACACAGTCAAAATCCCTAATTTCAGGCTTTTCTATAATTACCGTCATTAGTAGCATCCGGCCAGGACCATCCCTGGACAAATGAAAGTATCTTTTTGTTTGGTTTTGTTTCGAGACTGGGTTTCTCTGTGTAGCTTTGGTGCCTGTCTTGGATCTCGCTCTGTAGACCAGGCTGGCCTTGAACTCACAGAGTTCCGCCTGGCTCTGCCTCCTGAGTGCTGGGATTAAAGTTGTGTGCCACTGCCGCCAGGTGGACAGAAGTATCTTATCAGAGATGCCTCTGTACTCTCTAAGAACAGACTTAAGCATTCAAAATATCTGTTTGAGAAGGTCTGGCAGATGTGCTAATTAAGTTTAACTTTCTCCTTTTCCAAATCTTATCTCCAGCTTTAGATCTCCTTTTTAACAATTACCAGGTGCATCTAGCTGTGATGGAAATTGCCTAACCAAGTTGTCTAGAGACCAAGCACACTTCCCTTGCCTGGCCAGAAAACGGCAGCAGCTGAGATAGCTTGGACAGATAAGGGGACCAAAGGAAATAAGAAAGCAGTTTTATTTTCACCCATGACCTAGTGACTTGTAGGTTCTATAGGTTCTTAACATTTCAACTAACCACTTCTAAGAATATAGTTTGAGCACATAAATCCCCTTTGCTCAGATATTAACTGAATTTAGCCCTCAGTTGATTCTATTCCCCATTAGTCACTTCCCTTTTGGGTTGCAGATGATGGCTGGCAATTACTGCTCTCTTGTGTGGATCTTATTGCCCCTCCTTTTGACCCTGAGGAAGTTCAAGCCTGGTGACCTTGCCTTAGCTACAGCATTGATATTGCATGGGGATATATCTGTAAACCTCAGAGACTTGAGGGAACTAGATTGGAGGAGAATGAGATTGGAGGACTAGAAGAGAGAACTAGAAGAATGAGATGGAAGATGAGGAAGAGCCAGATGGGAAAGAACTAGGTGGGTAAGAATGAGATGAGAAAGACCAAGATGGGGTAGAACTAAGATGAAGGAATTAAGATAGCACATAGAGGGAACAGCAGAAAAATGTAGAGAGAAATCAGGCAAGAAAGGAGCGAGGCATGAGAGCAGAATAGAAGCTGTGTAGAGAGAGAACTGACTCAGAAGAATAAAGTGAATGGACTAAAGAACTTCATGTACGTAGATTCATTTCATATAGTCTAAGATTAGATTATCAGCTGGTTGTAGATTCTTCCATGGACCCTGGGAGAGGGCTCTCGAGGGGCTGGACCCCAATAGTCCACGTTACTAGAGTAAGAGTCAAAGAGAAGGACGAACATAAGAGCAGGTGACCTTCTCCCCCTGCTTGATTTCCCTAGGCATTTCTAGTTGTTTGCTTCCAGCTTCGTTTGTCAGATTTTCACTCTTCCCAATTCATCGTCTGAGAGTTCTGCACTTCGTCACCATCACCCAGCTCTTCTGTCCCACTGCTTGCAACTTTTTAGTCTCATGAATGTATTCACTATCTAAACTCTTCAGTTAAGAGTGTGTGCGTGCATGTGTGTGTCTATGGGTACAGGCATGCCATGGTGCTCATCTGGAGGTCAGAGGACAACTTTCAGGAGTTAGTGTCCCTTCTTCCACTATAGGTTACAGGATTGAACTTAGATCATCAGTCTGTGAGGAAAGCCCAGCTTAAAAAAATATTACTAGTTTTTGCTCCATTTTCTTGTGTGTGTGTGTGTGTGTGTGTGTGTGTGTGTGTGTGTGTGTGTGTTGTGTATGTATGTATTATGCAGATGTGCATATGTGTGGGTGCTTGTGGAAGTCCCTCTGAGATTGATGTTAGGAATCATCCTTGATTGTTTTTCCACCTTATTCAATGAGGCAACAGGACCTTTCAATCAAATTCAGAACTCTGTGATGTGGCTGGTATTGCTAGCCAGTTTTCTCTAGGGATTCCCTGGCTCTGCCTTCCCAGGCTGGAATTGCAGGTAGACTGTTAGGCCCACCTGACATTTATGTGTGTTCTAGGGATCTTATCCTTTTTCCCACTATTAAGTGTAGCTACCACTCTTCATTAAAAAAAAAATAAAAAGCTTCTCATTACAGCAAATGGAGACCATCACAGAAAACCACAACTGGATACAATGCAGAGATTAATGGGTCATGGAAAGTTCAGCCCCAGTGAGTACATCTACAACACAAGTTCTGCACCTAAGGCTGAGGAAGAGGGGGTGGAAAGATTGTAAGAGCCAGAGTACCAGGAAGTTTGGTAATAGACGATGTCTCCCAGAAATGGCTGCCTAAACAAGACCTGAACAATGCCAATGACAATAGACACGCTGATCTCAAAGGAGGAAATCTCACAGGTTCCCACCCCTCAACAAAGAACTACAGACTAAGGATTGTTGAAAGAAGAAGAGAATTAGCTTCTCTCAGAGATGAGCCCCTTAATTGGTTATTCAACACAAAGTGGCCAGCCATGAAAGTGGCCAGCCATGAAATCATAAGCACACAAATAACAAAAAATGGACTCATCATGTTGTATTTATATATTTGTTCATCTCTTTTTCTATATGTAGCAGTAATAAAGAAAGAGTCCATCAATTTGAGAGGGAGTCAGGTGGTCAGGGGCCGGAGGGAGAAGAGTGAAAGAGGGAAATGCTATAATTCTATTTTAATTAAAAATATATTTTAAAAGATTTATTTTTACTTATATGTATGTGTATATATGTAAATACATGTTCAGGTACCTTCTGAGGTCAAAAGAGGGCTTCAGATTCCTTGGAGCTGAAGGGGAGCTCATAATATCCTGGTTGTGAGTCACCCATCATGGATGCTGGGAATCAAACTTGAGGTGCTCTTACCCACTGAACCATCTCTGTAGCTCCGATAAATATTTTTTCCTCTTGAGACAGGGTTTCATGTAGCCCAAGCTGGCTTTGAACTTTCGTGCATCTACCGGAAACTCTTCATGTTACTGCCTTGCTTACTAGAGTGCTTTGGTGACAGGCAGGCACCAACATGCTGGCTTAAGTGTGGGAATTTTTCTTTGCCAGCACTAATATTTGTGATTCTGATTTTTTTTCTGGTAAGGGTTGGCTTTATTGACTTCTGGTTCAATGAGGAAACCAAGCCTTGGAAGAGAGCTATGACTCACTCAGGGAATGCTTCCATGAACTGCTTATCAGTGGCTTCAATGCAGACTGTTTAATTTCAGAGCTCCTGATTTTACTTACTAGGCAGTTTGAGAAATCAGTAAAAGCAAAAATATATTTGTCTCACCAAATAGCCTCAGTCTGAGACCACCATTTAAAATGATCATGGGAGGTACTATGTTAGGAAATATTTCCTGAATTTTTGGAGTGGATATCCATCTCTCTGAATTTCTGTATCATGTTTGCATATGTGTGGGATGGAGAAGTCCACCAACTTTTGATATATGTTACATCATCTGGGCTCCTTCCTGAGTCTTGCAAGGAGGGACCACTTGGAATGGAGGCTGGGCTTCCCCTAGGCCTTCTTTCCATGCTTGCTTCCAGGGGTAGGATAGTTTCTGGTGGCCCTTAGCAGTCTAGAGGCAATCACATAGAAGATGTCCAACAAATGAACAATTATTTCTAGAAAAATTAATTAGGGGAATTTAATTTGCATTTTATGGGAATAATAAAAATAAAGTGTCTGCAACCTTAATCAATTTAACCTCTCCATATCCAAACAGCATTAAATGATCTCATAATAATGCTTTCTGGAGGTGTAAAGAAATAGAATGCCATTTATATTTAGTGTATTAGAACTAGATGTAAAAACATCATTTAGATTGGTATTAGAAAAGAATATTCCAGATCTCTTCTAACTTATCCTTTGTTGGTTCTTTTCTTTTGTTCTTTAATTCCACAGTTATATTAGTCTCTCCACTCTAGTATTGAACTTTTGTTTTGCATTTTCTATTTCCATCATTTGCTTTCTATTTTCTTCCAAGCAGCTGTAAACCTCCCAACTCCTGCCTCCATTTCTATCATGGGGCTTCCACCAGGTTTCCACACAGGCTTTCAGGTAACCTCATTGCTAAGGATTGCACATGTGAGATTTCAAGGGTGTATGAAGACTGTGTTTCAACAGGTACATAGGTTAATATGTGCACTGTCTTCTCTATGAGTAAAGGATAGCTTAAAATAGAGACAAAAGTCAATACAAGGGTAGCTCAAAAATGGCTTGTCTCATGCTGGGGAGATAGCTCAGTTGGTAAAGCACTTGCAATGTATGTAACTATCATGTCTATGTACTTATTTATATTCTTCTATCTTCCTATCAGATGTTTATCTATCTTTCTATCATCTACCTGTGTATATATACATATATCTATCATCTATCTATGAATATATATATATATATCTTATGTATCTATGATCTATCATCTATCTACCAAATATTTATATCTACTATCATCTATTTTCATACCTACCTACCTTTCTATCACCTATTTGTTTGTTTTAATATGTATACATTTATTTGTCTATGTGTATATATATTTATACTGTATCTGAATGTGTGCATGAATTTGTGTATTTATATTATCTATATGTTTATTATATATTTTTATATCATCTGTGCATTAATGTATATATCTATCATCTACCTATATAATAATATGTATGTGTTATATAGCTGCCTATTATCTACCTATCTATGTATCAATTTATGTATGTAT